AAATTGATTAATACATATAATTCTTACTATAAGACCCAGCTAACTAATTTAAAAAAATTAAAGATATTACTAAAAATACATGTAATATATTCTAAAGATACATATATGTTATAATTAAATAATTTAACAATTTTCTTAATCATATAAGATATGTTATAATTAAATAATTAAATAATTTTTTTAATCTTAAATTGATATATAAGATATGCTTGATAAGAATTTCTTGCAATGTGCAGAACTATTAATAATGCTCCACATGAGTAGAATTTACAGAGATGCCAGTTCTTGATTGTAAGCTTCTATGAGCTGAACACAACGATGTTGTGAACCAAAAATTGTGGTCACAAAATACGTTTTTTAAAATCACAATGATTTAAACTTACGTTTGTCCAACCCAATTCAAACGGCATTTTGTCGGGCTATAGTCTTGAAATTAACACCTCAATGGTCGGTGCCATGTACCCCGAAGGAAAAATAACTGAGATTTGATTTGATTTTTTCTTTTCTACCCTTTAAATCTTCCACTCATGGACACACCAAAATCCAACGTCATCATGAAATGGAGAAGACGGGGTTTAACATATTCATATTGATTTAAACTGAGTTTTACAAAGCTAACTGTAGTATATCCTAGCATCTCTGATGTAGGAACTGCTCATTTTGAGCTGCACGCAGAGAGATCGATAAGAACTTCCGCAAAGAGGTGCCTGAATGAAAAGGCACAAACTAGACGAAAAAGCATAATTATTATATCGATAACTTCTTTTTGCCTAAATATGGATGCCTATGAAGCCCCGGCTAGCAGACTTTTCCACTCATTTGATGGTTGAGACAGTGTCTGGTCATTCTACACAGTGACTGGTGAGAAGACCCAGCCTGAGAAAGCGCTTTCTCTGCACTCAACATCAGCTCCCTCACTCTTCCCCTCATCGTCTTCCCTTCTTTCTCCCCCATTACTCTCCTCACCACCTTCCCTATCTCCTCCCTTGGCACCGCCTCTCCCTCCGGCCCTTTCATCCTCACGGCCACCTCAAGCTCCGCCGACAACATGCAGGCATTCATCTTCTGCTCTGCATACAGCGGCCACGCCACCATGGCCACTCCATGCATCACGCTCTCCAGCGTCGAGTTCCAACCACAGTGCGTCACGAATCCCCTACCGAAGGGTGTCCCAATATCTCCGCCTGTGGGGCCCACATGGGGACCACCCACCCCACCCCGTGGTTCCTCCTCGCAAACCCCTCCGGCAAGTAATCCATGCACTCTTCTCGACCCTTCACGACATCAAAAAACGAGCCGCTAGCATCCTCTTCCTTGGGAGGCCGCACCACCCAAACAAACCTCTGCTCGCTCAGCTCCAGTCCCCAAGCCAGCTCCGTGATTTGAGCCGCCGACAGTGTTCCCCCGCTTCCGAACGATACGTAAATAACCGACTCCATTGGTTGATCGTCAAGCCACCGCAAAACCTCGTCTTTATGGTTGGCTTTCGGGTCGATGCTTCTCACCAAGGGCCCTACAAAATACACCGGACCTTTTGTGATCCCCCCTAAAATATCTTTATCCATCAGTGCCTTTACGGTAGTCGGCTCTAGATCTTGCCACGTGTTCACCAGAATCCCGTCGGCGGATATTATGTCTTGCGCCGCCTTCAGATAACCCTCGTACATCCGCCCACCCCGGTACAGGAACGGTTCGAGCGTGTCCTCAAAGGGAACCGGTTTGCAACCCGGGATACGCAGCGGTTCGCGGTGGTTAACGTGCCTGTCTTCCATTTCCTTGTCGATGACAGGCAGATATATCGTTGCCGCGGTAAACCATGCGTTGCAGGTGAATAACACGTAAGTCAACATCCCGAACTCGCGCGCCATGGGAAATGCCAGGGTGCCAAAGATGTCCACGATAAGAACTATGGGACGAGGGTTCATCGATAAGATGGAAGAATGTAAAAGAGGGAGGGACCGAATCATGGTGAAGTTAATTCGGGCTTCTAGAGGAGGGTTAGGGGCAAGTTCTGTGGAGACATCTACAGGAGGGAATACAACGATGTTGATGGAGGGGAGGTTCGAAGTGGATTTTAGGATGACAGAGGCGGTCGAGGAGTCGGCGGTTACGACAAAGACGGTGACGAGAAAGCCGTGATGGGTGTGGAGGCGCTTGGCGAGCTCGATCGCCGGAACGAGGTGGCCCATACCAGGGCTAGCGAGAAGGGCTGCGCGAGGTTTATTGACACTGCTGGTACTCGTTCGTTCCCGGGGTAAACCTTAAAACCAAAGCTACTTTCTCTTGCTTTTCATATATAGCGGAACTGGGGTGTTTATGGATAAGACTGGACAAGACGTATCCCTGCTTAATACTAGTATGCTGCATTTTGCAAGTCGTTGCATTTTGCAACCCGTTGCTCTGCCCAATCCATGAAAACCCTAACTATTTTGAATTGGATAATAACAGGCTGACTAGGGTAGGTTTCTAAGCCTAAATGGTGATATTTTGATAAAAAAGTTTTTAGTTAAAGCAAGGGTATCTCATGACAATTATAAAGAAATAAATACTTGACAAACAAATTCAACAAAGCAATAGTTTTGATTTACCTTAAATCGATATATCTTTTAATACAATCTTACAAACATGAACATACTCCCCTTGAATATGAAAATTTTTCCAGCATCAAACATACCACCCTAACCATCATATTAATTAGAGTATTTAATTATGCTTTAATTCTTTAAGACAGTGGTTTAATGTTTGGAAACATCAAAAGAGAAAATTATAATCAGTCCAACAATTCAAATTTATAAGGCTTATGTCATCGCCACCAACACTACAAATCCCCATTACTTATTCTAGCATTTCAGCACTTAAGGTAGCTCCAAGTAAAAAGATGACAGCACATTCACAAAATTAAATTCCGTATTCGAATAATATGCTCCCATAATTCGCATAACACCAAACAATGGCATTATATTTAATCACATGCCACGCTATTCATTATCTATATAAGTTTTGACCCATGTCCTTCTATGACTATTTCACTACAGCACTGTCTTTCCTTGCTAAATCAGATTTTAAACATCATCTTCCTCCCCAAAACATCTCAGTTGAATGAAATAAGGATGAGAGTCGTTAAATGGAGAAAAATAATATATATTATTGTATATATATCATATTATTATTATATATTCTTGGCAAAAAAACTTATTATATATATATCACGGGCATGGCCAAATGGGTAAGGCAGCATACCCTACCCGCAGCCCAGTCCTGCCAGTGATATACCCAGCCCAAAAATACTCTTTTTTTTTCTTTTTCTTTTGGGCTGCTTTTTTTTGGGCTAGGTTGGGCATGGCAATTTTTTTCAGACTTGGGTAGGTATACCGGGTTAGCATGCTTGATAAACACCTCTAGGCGGAACGGATGTTCGGGTGAGCATCATGAGCAACTTTCCTTTGAATATTCACAACTCAAGTCAATGGCCGACAGCCATAGTTACTTCTCCTACGCAATTATTATATTCTTAGTTTCGATTCTAAATATAAGAGCTAGTTGACTAATTTAAATAGATTAAGAAAAAAATTAAATTAGTTATTTGTAATAAATAGGTGATGTCTTTTTTAAAATGTCCTAACTAATCAAATGTATTGGATAGAACTACCTTGGAACAAAATACATAAATATGAGAGACAAAGTGGATTGGATTCTTATATTTAAAACCAAGATAAAAAGTCAAACAAGATTTTATATTAAAGATAGAAGCTAGTATATTACTCCTACGGTCCTAAATATAAAATCCCTTTCATAATGTAAATTACATTACAAAAACAGTTTTATATTTAGAACCGGAAGAATATATCCGTACATCTATGTTTGGAAACGCCCAAGGATGAGACAAGGCACGCTATTGCCAGATCAACTGATCAAGTACCGTCAGAAAGGTGGCAGTCTGGCAGATGAGAACCAAAGCGCGCGCCGTAATTAACCGAAATTTATGGATGAAGTCCCACGGAAACGGCTCTAATTAACTACAGGGATTTTATTTTGTTTCTTCCTTAAACGCCTGCGAGTGATCTTCGCTGTGTTTCTCCCACTCTTTAATTTGAATTATTCAATAGAGAAATCAAGTGAATGGCCAGCCAAGGTTGATTAATTAGTAGCTATACATACATTATACATATATGCCGTATACTTCAATCGCCTATCGGTCATGATAATGCGCTAATTACATAATACTCCCTCGGTTGAAAGCGATGCTTTGTTGAAAATGTTAATGTTGAGAAGCTGAGAAGGTAAATGAGTGAGAGGCTTTCAATTAAATGATTGAGTAATCTATGTTACCGTTGTCAGATGCGGTGCCTCATTAATTGGTGCATTAGCTAAAATAAAAGGTGAATTTATAAAAAGAAATTTGAGATTAAATATTTAGAATTTAATAATTTTAAACTTAATTTTTCACTAAAAGAAATGCGTCTCTGCTCTCTCATGCTGCTTCACAGGTGCCTATACAAAAGCCGTGTTGTATTTATTGGCTTTGGGCCCCAACATAATTGTTTGTACCGCATTTGTAATTATTTGTCCGGAATTACCACCACCCTTGAATGCAAAGGTAGGCGTACATACCAGAATCGACCAGGGTTATTTTTGGAAGATTATTTTACTTGAAGCGTTCAAATACACTTGTTAAGCCTTTATAGCTGGCAGGCAAAGGTGATTAGTTCGCGTTAGGCAATGGTAGATAATTTCCACTATAGCCGTTTATATTTATTAGTTATTTGCAAGCTAGTTACTCAATCCCACATTTACATATTAAGAAACACATTAAATTGATAATTTTTTAAACACATTAAATTTATTTTTATTAAAACAATTTTCCTGCACTTGCAAATTACTCTTACATATCTCTTGTCCTTTTCTTTTTCCAACAACAATCAAATAAAGATAAAATAAGAAAATAATCATAAATATCCTGCAAGTTATTTATATTCAGGACCATTTGTCTTACAAATGACTTATCATAAGGATCAAAGTGATGTTGTTTTAGGAGGTTAAAATGCATTCAATATCCTAAATTTTCGCTTATAATGATGTAACAAAAATGCTGGAATCTCACTTTAATTTAACCGCCGCAAGCGTCCGTTAGAAATTGACATTAACCATTTCAATTTTTTGGCTAGCTATGCTCTCTCTCTCTTTCTCTCTCTCTCTATATATATATCTCATTCTTCCAACGCCGTCGACGCCGTACATTCGGACCATCCGACCGCCGCCAGCTTGCACTGCACAAGACCGGATCATCAGTCACATAGGCACGAGGATTACTTGAAGATGGCTCAAGGATTCTTGGGATCGGGGGCTCGAAAGCTGATTCTCACTCATTAAACCAGCTCAGTCAGGAAGCGGCGGCGGCGGCTATGAGGATTACTTGAAGTTGGCTCGAGGCTTGCTGAGAAAGTGATGGATTTGTTTCCGTGAACTCGGTGTGCAGTTTGGGAGCGGGGAAAGAACTTGATGAAACTACTAATGGGGGGACGAGGGTGAGAAAGATGAGATGCAGGGGATAAAAGATAGCATGGTTAGCCAGAAAACAATTACTTCTAACCGATGTTTGTGGCTGTTAAATTAAGGGTGAGATTGCACCATTTTATTAAAGTAAAGGTGATCTACTTTAACTTATATTCTAATTAGAGGCTAATGGTGATTTTATTAGCTTCTTCTCCTATTCAATATCCATCGAAAATTTAGGGTAGTTGTTGATTTTACTTCCTTTATAGCATCTCTAAATTATTGGGTCGGGTACCCAATGCAAAACAGCAGCAGCCACTGGAGCGTGGTCAGACCTCCGAACCAACGCTGCTCCTCATACATTGTATTTAAGAAAAAGGCTATTGTTATTAAAAAGTGTGCGCATTTAATTAGTTGGCAAAGTGGGAAAGACGGTCGTGATTGGTGACGTTTTACATATCACAAGCAGGGATTCTAATTCTGAGAGGCATAGGAAGTGTTGGAGGTGGATTGGGATAATGTGGTTGTCAAACTCAAACTGGATAAGGGAGACTTCAATGGGGGAACTGATCACTTGGGGCGCACTCATCCGCAGGAAGGGAAGAAGTAAAGTTAGAATGACGAAAAGTGGCCGTCAACGAGGATAAGGCGCACCTTGTTTCAAGTGTGGAAATTGTTAAAGTGCAAAATAATGTGGATAACGCAATAGCTATGCATATGCCAAGTGGCATCGGTCTCCATCTCATATTGACGCACGCTTTGTTGGATATATTTATGAAGAAGGCGTGTTTTAAAGACTTAGATTGGGCGGGACGGTTATGTGGTTGATGATGAAGATAAAGACCATTATGCAGGTCAAAATCCCACTGATAAATAGCAGTGACAGGATGGTGTGGTTGAAGAGCGGAAGTGGAGAATACATGGTAAAGCTTGGTTATAAAGTTGCCCTGAATAAACTGAAGAATAGTGGCACTAATAAGCCAAGTGAATCTTAAAAACCCTCTAATTAAATATCTATGGAGTGGGATCTGGAATATCAAACTACCTCCTAAGGTGCTACATTTCATGTGGAGGGCGGTGAATAGTGCTTTAGCAACTAAAGAAGCACTGTACAAAAAGAAGTGTTCGGCGAATCCTCTCTGTGAAATTTGCAAAACACATGTAGAAACTGTTGAGTATGTGTTGTTTCTGTGTCTATGGGCTAAACTGTGCTGGTTCGGCTCACCCCTATCCCTGAAATTTGAAGGAAAGGGAAATTCTTGCTTTGACAAATGGCTCGAGGACTGATTTGGTAGCAAGATGGGAAAGGATAAACAGAATTTAGCAGTATTTGCTGGAATTTGTTGGTGGATATGGAGATTCAGATGCAAGGCAGTGTTTGAAGGAGAAGATGTTGATGCCTTGGATTGTTTAGCAAAAGCAATGAGATTGGTTAGAGATTTTTTTGATGCTGCTGAAAGGGAGGGAAGGAAGGATGTGTGTAGAAAGAGCTGTGATAGAAACCAGAAGTGGTTGAAACCAGCTTCTAATATGATTACGGTTAATCTGTATGCTGCTTTTAGTCATAGTTCTAAGGAGGCTGCAATAGGAGTGGTGTGTAGAAATGGGAATGGAGATTTTATTGGAGGTATGAGGAAGAAGGTGGACTCATCTTCAACATTTATGACGAATGCCTAGCTCTTTTGTCTTCATTAGAAGTTGCTGAAGCTAGAAGCTGGGAAAATGTAGTCTTTGAAATGGACTGTCAGGAGCTTTATGGTCTATTGCAGAGGAAGGATGGGAAAAGGGAAGAATGGTGCTGTTCTGAAGTGGTGCAAAAGTGTATGGATGGCTTAACATTAATGGATTCGTGGAAGTTATCTTTGGTTGATAGAAAGGGAAACAAGGCTGCAGACTTTATTGCAGCTGAGGCTTTAAGGGGGCACGGCTTTGTGATTGTCGTTTTGATTAATGATGTGAGGTTTTGTGATCTGAATGGTGGGAACTGAATTGGTATAGGCTAAGAGGTCTTTTGTTTTTTTTGGTTTTTCTGTTTGAGTTTGTTTGTTTTTAGTTTTTTGTTTTGTTTAGTAAGGTTTGTGTGTTAGGTTGTACTCCAGGCTTTTTTAAGTGTCTGTTTTGACCTGCAGGCTATTGCTGTTTGTACATTTGCTTTTTGGTTATTAATAAAATTGACTTGTTTTGCCCAAAAAACAGATTGGACGGACGGTTGGATCATCACCCGGGAATAACAAGCAGGCTGTTTTTAGCATTGCTATTCGTGTTCGGATAGACGGGAGGAAAAAAACAGAGAGAAAATGCATGTAATGACAATTATATCCTTATTTAATTTTTAATCCATATTTTAAGTAATGTATAAAAAAAAGACTCAAATAAAAAAAATAACACCATCAAATTAAAGATTAAAGTCCAATTAAAATAAAATTATTTTTTAGATTGTATTTTAAGATCAAGATATTGAGCAAAATATTTCCTCACAAACTATTACGTCACTAGTTTAACCATGGCCCGTTTATATTTTCCATTTGATATCCGTGCCGTTCAAAACATTGCAGAGAGGGTTAAATATAGAGTACATGGGATCTCACTGATTAATGACGAGCCTGTTGACAGTTGATGCAGTGGGAATTAACACAGAAGAGATGACGCAACATGAGATAATCTAAACTATATGCAGTCAAAGAGATAATTAAGCAAGCTAATTAAACAAGGAAGCTGAAATATATATATTTATATTTTAAAAAGAAAGCCAAAGCCGAGGCTTACCCGTGACATAGCAAGACAAGGACAAATTATGCTTGCGTCCTCTGTGACAGGAGATTTGACGATACACCAGAAACAGAGGAAGACGTTAACTGCTGGGGGTCACACTCAGCTGGCCTTGCGCACCACAGTTTGGCCAGGTGGTCGAGCACAGTGCGAGACAAAATTGCTTTTGCTGCACTCTCCTTCACCTCTCTCACTCTCTCCCGTATATGGTTAGGCTTCCCCTCCATTATCTCCCTCAACATGCTCGCTATCTCCTCCCTTCCCACCACCTTCTTCGCCGGCAACATCTTAGGCCTCACCCCCACCCTCAACTCCTCCGCCAGCAGCGTCGCGTTCATCCTCTGCTCTGCGTATAACGGCCAGCAGATCATCGGCACGCCGTTCGTTATGCTCTCCAGAGTGGAGCTCCACCCACAATGCGACATGAACCCCCCCACCGATGGATGCCTCAATATGCTTGCTTGGGCCCCCCATTGTGGAATTAATCTCCCCCTTTTCTGCTTCCTCTCTTTGAACCCTTCTAGCAAATAATTTGACGGATCATCATCCCCACGGTTGTGTAATGCTCAAACGTAATGGCTGTAATGCAGAGCAATGTTTATTAAAGATATAGCGCAATACAGTATCTGTAATATGAAGGTACAGCCACAGATATAATGAAAAACAGGAAACTGCAGAGTATAACAGAAGGGAAGGAATGCAGAGAATGAAATATCCAGAGAGAAGAGAAGGTCCAGAGGGAGAAACCACGATTAGCCAGTACATGCACACCCTCTCTCTTTCCTCTAACTAACTTATATTCCTCATGCGTCCCTCAACTTCCACGGCAGGCGCCTAACACGTGAACTCTTACGCATTCCGTTAATATTGCACGCTGAATCACCCTCTCTGCCTTTCTCCTTTGCCACGTCATTGTCCATACCCGCTTGCTGCTCTTCTTGTGTCATCACATTGCCCCCCGGTACGAGAGAGACCTTGTCCCCAAGGTTGAAAGAGGGGTATTGCTGCTGAATGTCAGCAACTGATTCCCATGTATAATCGGGAATACCATCCCAGCGGATTAAAAGTTGAGAAATCCAATGATCCCCAACCTTAATAGTTCTTGCGTCCATGATCTCCTGCGGCTGTATGATAGGGCCTTCTGGTTCTGATAATAAAGGGAGAGGCACATAGGGTGTAATGTCCTGTCCTTCAAATCTTTTCAAGGCAGACACGTGAAACACCGGATGAATCCTAGCTGCCGGAGGCAATTGTAGTTGATAAGCAACAGAACCAATCTTTTTGGTCACAGGAAACGGACCAAAATACCGCATGGCTAGTTTGTGATGCTTCCTTAAAGCCACGAAATGTTGTCGATAGGGCTGTAATTTGACCAAGACTAGGTCACCGATCTCAAAGTGAACTTCAGTTCGCTTGCGGTCTGCAAACTTCTTCATACGGTGCTGGGCTTTTGATAAGTGGTGTCTAAGTTGAATCAACAACTGATCCCGAAATAGTAAATTGGAAGCTAAATCAGCATGCACTTCAGTAGAGGGAGCTGCAGGCAGTAACGAGGGTGGATTTCGCCCATACACGGCCTTAAAAGGCGTCATGGCAATTGCTGTATGAAAAGCAGTATTATATGAAAATTCTGCCCAAGGCAAAAAATCAACCCAGCGACGTGGGCAGTCAAACACAAAGCAACGAAGATACATTTCTAAGCATTTGTTGAGAATCTCTGATTGGCCATCTGTTTGAGGATGATAAGCGGAACTCATACGAAGTTCTGCCCCATGTAACTTCATGAGTTGGCCCCAAAAAGAACTAAGAAAAACCTTATCCCGATCTGATACTATAGTTTTGGGGAAGCCATGAAGCTTAACAACAGTTTGGATAAAGGCATCAGCGACCTGTTTTGCTGTATATGACGCCTTTAAGGGCATAAAATGAGCATATTTAGACAAACGATCAACCACAACAAAGATAACAGAATGGCCATGTACTAAGGGAAGTGACGTAATGAAATTCATGGCAATATCATCCCAAATATTATTGGGAATGGGTAATGGGGATAGCAACCCAGCTGGATGCGATTGGAGGGCCTTAGCCTGTTGACAAATCATACAACGACGCACAAAATCTTTGATATCCTGACGCATAGAACGCCAATAAAAATGAGTGGCGACTCTATGAAAAGTCCTCAAAACCCCTGCATGTCCCCCAATAGGAGAGGAGTGAAATTCAAGCAACAGCTTATGTATTATTTCAGAACAATCAGGAGGAAGGACCAAACGACCTTTCCAATACAGCAAAGACCCACTGACTTCATAACCAACCTTGGAAGTAGGGTCTGATTGAACTTTTTGTACCAAGCCCTGAATATAAGAAGATGTCTCCAACATAGGTAACAATTCAGCGAGAAAAGTGGAAGAAATGTGTAGCATGGACATATACATAACACGAGATAAGGAATCAGCAGCCAAATTTGATTTACCCGGTCGATATTCAATTGTAAAATCATATCCCAGCAGCTTTGGAAGGTGAGCTTCCTGCTCTGGGGTCTGAATAGTTTGCCCATTCAAATGCTTGAGGCTCTCTTGGTCAGTGCGAATAATAAAACGGTGGCCAAATAAATAATGACGGAATTTGGCCACTGCTTGCGTGATGGCATATAACTCGCGCACATAAGCCGATTGTGCTTGCATCCTATTCGACAATTGTTTAGAAAAATATGCAATAGGGTGACCATTTTGACTCAACACGGCACCAACACCAGAACCCGATGCATTAGTCTCCAATATAAAAGGATGAGCGAAGTCAGGTAATGCTAACGTAGGAGCATGTGTAAGAGCCAGCTTAAGTTGATCAAAGGCCTGTTGAGCTTCTATGGTCCAAACAAACGCATCTTTTTGTAATAATCTATTTAAAGGTCCAGCAAGTTGAGCATAATGTTTAATAAAACGCCTATAATAACCAGATAAACCCAAAAATCCTCTCAACTGTGTAACAGACGACGGAATAGGCCATTGTGTGACCGCCTGGACCTTGGACCCATCCATTTCAACCCCGGCTGCTGAAATAATATGCCCTAGATACTCCACTCGGTTGCTCCCAAAAGAGCACTTGGAAAGTTTAGCAAACAAACGATGATCAACCATCAATTGCAAAACCGTCTGAACATGCTGTAAATGTTGGGACCATGAGGCGCTGTATATCAGGATATCATCAAAGAAGATTAACACAAATTTCCGCAAAAAAGGTTGAAAAACAGAATTCATGAGGGCCTGGAAGGTGGCAGGAGCATTTGTAAGACCAAACGGCATAACAAGCCATTCATACAACCCTTGATGCGTACGAAAAGCCGTTTTTGCTCGGTCCACAGGACTCATCATAATCTGATGATAACCCGAGCGTAGGTCTAATTTAGAATAGAAAACAGAGCCCCCCAATTCATCCAATAATTCATCAACTGTAGGCATAGGAAAAGAATCTTTTAAAGTTACCGCATTAAGAGCTCTGTAGTCCACACAGAAGCGCCACGTACCATCTTTCTTTTTAACCAAAATTACTGGCGCAGAGAAAGGGCTGGTACTGGGTTGAATAAGACCCTCTTGGAGCAGCTCAGCAATCATCCGTTCAATTTAATCCTTTTGACTAAAAGGATATCGGTAAGGTCGCACTTTCACTGGCTGATCTCCATTAGTCAAGATAATGCGATGTTTGTGTCCTCTGCTCGGAGGTAACCCAGTGGGTTTCTCAAAGACTGTCCAATATTGTTGCAGCAAGTTCTTCATATCATCATGAATATCATTGGGCATACTTTGAGAAGGTACAGGATCAGGGGACGTAGCAAGTGTCATTAGGAAGAGCTCAGCAATAGCATCCGTACGCACCAACCTCTGTAACTGGTGAAACTCAGCTTGAGATACAGGAGGATGAGACAGACCATGTAGTGTAACAAATTCTCCATTGTTAAAAAATTTGATGCGAGGACTACCAATCGTATAGTCTGCTACATGCGGATCAAGAGTGGCTAACCAAGATGCACCAATCACCACATCAGACCCCGCAATTGGTAATACATAAGTTGGAAGAGTAATTGTATGCCCCTGAATCTGCAATGGAACGGCTCGAACGATACCTTCACCCGTCATGGCATACCTATCACCTATCATGACACGGATGTTGTGAACTGGTTCCACTGGGAGACGCAGATGATTAATGACCCTGGGATGGATAAAACTATCGGTACTACCACCATCAAGGAGCACCTGTACGGCCGACCCACAAATAGCACCCTGAAAACGAATGGTGGCGGTACCACGGTGGCCTTGAAAAGCATGGAGTGAGAGATGGTGAATGGTTGGCGCATCGTCGTGTGGTTCAGCCTCCAACACTGTCGCGGACTCTGTAGTTGAAGGGGAATCTGACTCTTCACAAAACATGACCATGAACTGCTTGTTAGCACAACGGTGAGCCGGTGAAAACTTCTCATCGCACGTATAACACAGACCTTTCTCTCTTCGGATAGCCATCTCTACTGCTGTCATTTTCTTAATCTGTGTAACTGGTTTCATGGCTGGCGTAGGTAGCAACGCCGCCTGAGAGCTCTTCGTGGATGAAGCTGATGATGAGAAACCAGAGAAGGGTTTAGAGAAAGCAGAGCTGCGACTTGAACCAGTGGTGTTCGGTTTAGGGGGCCCATCAAAGGGGCCCACAGATGTGTCAAACAATTTGGCCAGCTCTGTAGCTCGTAACAAGTTAAGTGGTTTTTGGGCCATAACGTCCTTCCGCAAGTAAGGTTTCAAACCTCCAAAAAAACAATCCAATAAGGCTGCATCAGAGACCCCCTCTGTGCGATTTGCGAGCGCCAAAAACTCCGGGCAATACACTTCCGCTGATGAGGACTGCATGAGTTTGAACAACCTGATGCGCGGCTGATCAAACAGAGAAGGACCGTACTCATCCTCTATGGCCTTGACAAGCGATAGCCAGTTAGTAATGACACGAGTTTTCTGCAACATTTGGAACCATGGAACGACATCGCCTTCAAAACTGACAGAAGCTACCAGTACACGTTGGTTGTCCGGCGTCTCATAATAAGAGAAATACTGCTCTGCACGAAAAATCCAGATCATGGGGTCAGAACCATCGAACTTTGGGAAATCTAACTTAATCGGGCGATATGAATTTTGGTACTGTTGACTGGAGGAAGAAACTCCAATAGAGCCAGGACCGCGATCGAGTTCACGAATGGAGGAAGAAATGCGACGAGACATTGATTCCATAGCGGCTTCCAAACTCGCAGTTGAAGCACGCCCCATAGCTTCGAGAGCACTCTGTAACTGATCCAGATGATTATTTGTTGATGTTTCCACACGGCCTACATACTCTGACAGAGATTTGAATTCTGTCTGCAGATCCTTAAAACGAGTTACGTCCGCCATGTCCGAGTCAATGAAAGCACCAAATGTAATGCTCAAACGTAATGGCTGTAATGCAGAGCAATGTTTATTAAAGATATAGCGCAATACAGTATCTGTAATACGAAGGTACAGCCACAGATATAATGAAAAACAGGAAACTGCAGAGTATAACAGAAGGGAAGGAATGCAGAGAATGAAATATCCAGAGAGAAGAGAAGGTCCAGAGGGAGAAACCACGATTAGCCAGTACATGCACACCCTCTCTCTTTCCTCTAACTAACTTATATTCCTCATGCGTCCCTCAACTTCCACGGCAGGCGCCTAACACGTGAACTCTTACGCATTCCGTTAATATTGCACGCTGAATCACCCTCTCTGCCTCTCTCCTTTGCCACGTCATTGTCCATACCCGCTTGCTGCTCTTCTTGTGTCATCACAGGCTGCCGTCCCCGGTGCTAAAGAACGCCGAGTCTGCGCGTCCTCTGTTTGGCGGACGCACCACCCACATAAATCTCAACCGGCTTAACTCCAAACCCCACGCAACCTCTATGGTCTGCTCATGCGAAAGCGTGCCACCGCTCCCAAACGAGACGTAAACCACCGAATCACTGGGTTGCTGATCCAGCCATCCCAGCAACTCCATGGTTGATCTCGAGGGAGGTTCTGGCTCCCTCACCAGCGGTCCAACGGCATACACGGGAACTTTTAGCATCCCGCCCAATAAATTCTCGTCTCTCAGTGATTCAAGGTCTTTGTGTTGGAGTTCTTCCCACGTGTTCACAAATATCCCATCGCCTTTTCGCACCCCGATCCCTATGCCGATGTACTCCTGATATTGCCGGGTGTTCCGGTCCAGCATGGGATCAACCACGTCTTCAGGACGAAGCGGACTGCAACCTGGGATTTCGAACGGTTCTTTCTGATCTACGAACTGGCCTTGCACTTGCTTATCCAGGATGGGAGAGTATAAAAGCAGGGAGAAAAACCAGGCATTGGAAGCTACAAAAATATACTTGAGCATGCGGAACTCTTCTGCTATGGACAAGCATTCAGAGCCGAAGATGTCAACTATGAGCACAGAAGGAGGGTGGCCATGTTAGAAAGCACAGAACGGACAGCTCCCTTGGGTTCACGCATGACGACGCAGAGGCGTTCCACAATGGCAGCTTCATTCTCAAGAAGGCCATAGAGGTCTGGGGGTGGGATTTGGAGGAAGTCACAAAAGTTGATGGAGGAGATGGCTGATTTCAGAATGCGGGATTCGGCTTCTGAGGTCTGGAAAGTAATGGCGAGGATTGTGACCTTGAAACCGTGGTGGAGGGCGAGGAGCTTTCCCAGGTGGATCGTGGGCATCAGATGGCCGAGGCCTGGGCTAGAAAGCAGAGCGACGTGGGGATGATGCATGACCTCTATGGGTGGAATTGAAGAATCAAGTCTGTGGTGATAAGCTGATGAGAAGGAACTAAGGCTGTCCCTCGAAGCTTCGTTATTGGACTGAGCATTTTGCGCACAAGATCGTTATTATTTGCATACCATTCTTAATTTAATTTAAATTAAATGAATATCACAGATTTCTGAGGGATTCTGATTGTCGGCAGTGGTGCTGGAGTGTTAATTTTTTTATAAGATAATATTTGTTTTTATCAAATTATTTAATAAGTTTTTTTTTAATTTTACCCCATACATTATCTTTCTTTTTTATTCATTTATTGTATTTTTTTACTTGTTATTTTTAGTAATAAAGATATATTTAAAATATATATACCTTACATATTTATTATTTTAAATTGATTTTAACTAATTTTTTAATAAATATAAATAGACAAAATTTATTTTATATTTTGAACACGAAGGAATAATTTTATAATAGGTTGTTGTCCAAAAAAATTAAAAAAATAAAAATAAAAATAATTGTGCAGAAGTCTAATGCGGGCCATACGAGACGACATCAATTATTTGTTGATAACATTGGGTCATATGAATTTTATTGGATAAATTCATATTAATACATGGATGTAAATGGCATTATTTGTGGCCTCTATTCAATAATGAAATTCCACCGTTGGTTTGTCTACTATTTTTTAGATATTCTGAAGCGTAAACTGTACCTTTTTTTTTTCGGACCAGAGACTGAAGGGAAAACCAAACTGTACCTATTAAAATAATTAAAAATAAAACAAATCAAACCTGAATGATTCAAAAGGGATGAGTTTTGGGTACATTCCCAGTAATGTTTTCTTTGCAATCCTCGCCATTTCAAATTAAAAGTCCGTTCTCATCTCTCTTTCTTGCCAGTCAACTACTCTTTCGCTCGGAAAAAGTTTAAATGACAATTTTCTTATATCCGTCGTCATCAAGGCATCTTAATTTTTAAAAAATTTTTTTTTGATATTTTTGAGTCTGTTAAGAAAATAAACTAGTTTGAATCAAAATATTCATTAATTTTTTTTAATATTCGTTATACTATGTTAAAATCATGAGCCGAATTTAGCATAATTTAAAAAAGTTAGTGGTTCTGCATTGCTTAAATATGATTGGAACGTTGTAACTAGCGTTAGTGTTGTAGCGGGACGTAATTGATTGATCCATACATTGGGTCATGAAAAGCAGGCAAATGCGGCTCACCGAGAGCAACAAAAAAAAAAAGGGCAAATGGGTCAGATACTTGGAAAGAGCAGAATGTCTCTACTTGATGATGGCTACAACGGGTGAAAGTAACAGGCACCATGTTTTTCGGTTTTTATTTAATGCTTAGCGTTGTGGCATATGAAAGATACTCGTGGCGGTGGCACAAAGCAATGGTGAAAGGCAAACAGGTTGAAGAGGACGCAGGGTGCAGAAGAGGAAGACAGAGCATGAAAGCTATGGATGAGTATCCTTTTCTGGGCAACAAAAAAAGGATGGCCCCAGACGCCGACACCTACGAAAGGCCTCCAGCCTCTTCATTGACATTTCCAGAAACAAGTGCCGAAACCTTGATCTCCTCAAGCTAACACTAGTTAATTACGATGTTCGCAGCGCATTAATTGTCCAGTTTGGGTTCGATGTCCTACCAAAAAGGGGGGAAATCTGAAGATTATTATATTACTATTAACAAATAGACAGGTCTTCATCTCTGTCGAGGGTGCTGATGTCCTTGGCTGCAACCACTCGGATATGAACATCACTTTCGAGCTGCTCTTAGCTCTAACAACGAGCGACGATCATTAAACTTAATTACAAGCGACCTATTAATTATACTATAGACCAAAATACAAGTAATTGGGTCTGACAGGCACAGGCGAGTCATCAGTTTGATAGAGCATACATGGCAAGCAAAAGTTGGCCAACGACAAGGAGAAATGAAATCAACGACAACTCGACCGGGGAAATAAAATCCGTAGCCTGATAGTAAGACTATCATATCAGATTATGAAATGGTTGGCACAAAATGTGTCTGCCATGTTTGTCATAGACTCGGGGCAGTTTCAATGTGATTTAACTTCTACCAAATGGACGCTCTCCAGGGTTCTTAACACAGTTTCTCTGGATGCTATAAGACGCAGACTAGCTACAAATAGAAAGAAATATAAATGCAAAGACACATGACAGTAAACGAAATGAAATTGTATTTGGATCGCTGGCATTACAACAGAAAGTTGATGACGAAAAGTAATAAAGCGTGACTTAAATATTGCAAATGGAGGCCAGGAGTAAATGCTCCGGTAAAGAAAATAGGCTGCCATTGGCGAGCTTTCCAATAATAATTGCATAGTTTACACATATGTCTCATCATGTTGCTAGTTTCTGGATATTCGACAACCCACCAAGTTTATGTAATTGCCCTGCCTGCCTGCTAATGCCTTATCCGGCTTTCTTTGTAAAGATGGGTATTGTCTATTTGTTGCCTCGTGAGACCCATCAATTTTGCCTGAGACTTCATTTCGTCAACCTACACCCCCTTCACCTTCCGGCTATTCTCAAGGCTCAATTCATTTTTAGTTCAATCAAAAACATAACACATTTCGAGGCAGTATTCAGTTTGGTTTTAACTTTATGCCTCTCCACACCCTAGAGTAAGCTCCAAATCATCCATTCCCACCTCCTGTACTATTATCTCGCCCTCCCACGGTTTGACTCTGCCGTTGTCAAACTCAAACCCTGATCCTCGCCCATTCTTTGCAGCTGGAGGTGGATTCCAATGCGTGCTTCCTCTCATATTTAAGCAATTCTGATGAGAAATTTGCTGTGCCACCGGTTTCATAAGATTAAAGGTGGGTGAAGGAGGAGCAACAGAAGCCCCCGTTGCTGCCTGAAAACTGACCCATCGACCAGAGTTCACTGGAGGAGCATCGGACTCGTTACATTCTGGAATAGTCGAAGCTACAACATTGTGACGGCGGGTAGGACTTGATGGGGCGGAGGCAGCAAAAAGCGGGTCACGAAAGGATTTAAGAGAGCCATTGGAGGGAGACTCAAAATCTGATTTTCGCTTTGAGCTTCTAGAGGACGGAGAAGAAAGAGGAGGGGTTACAGGAGCGCTGTTAGATATCTTGAGAGGGGGTAGGTTCGAAGGAATAGACGCTATGTTCTGAATGAATGGGAGCAGAAACGAAGAGGGATTTCCATCAATGCGAGTGGGGCTAGGGAAGGAGGATGAAGACGGGCTAGCATGGTAGGAAGGCATAGGACTAGGGAATGATGAGGATTGTGGGCTTGGCTGTATGGAGGAACAAGCACTGATATTAGCTGAAGTTCCTCCATTCTCAGTTGGAGGTGGCCTGCATCCCTGTGTAAAATGCATATCTTAATTAGATGTTAAACAACAAGCTTCATAAACACCGTCCTAATTGAATTCACACCTCTGAAAGGAAAACTAAAGCGTAATGATAAACGATATGAATCCGAAAAGCATAAAAGTCGATTCTATGGGGAAAAATTAGCATGCTTAAGAGAATTAATAACGACTTATCTGATTAATTTTACTATGGTGAAATTCTACATAAACAAGGCCATAACTCATTAACTGTTGCAGGATGGAAGCCCCTGAATGAATTTCATGTTCGATATTGAAAACAAGAACTCCTTGACAGCAATCTGGTCATTTTTCAATTTTCTCCAAATGAAACGAAACATTCGACATTAGTACTCCACGTAGTTCAGCAGCTCTGCTCGAGGTGGGAAAGGTCAAAAGGCAGGAAAAAAAGCGACATTGGAGGAAAACCTAAGCTACATGTAGATCCAGGGGATACCAGAGAAAGGAGTTCAAGTAATAATTTTAAAAGCAAATCTGCCGAGATCATAGGGGTACCGAGCAACAAAGGAAAGTGAAGGAAGCGAACCTTTCTATAGGTAGTTCCATCCTCCTCAACAATCCAACCAGCCTCAGCACAGAGAGCCTTTAAGACCTCGTTGTTGTCACAGTGCTTGGGAAGCTTATAGTTCCCCTGCGCTCTAAGGCCGGCATAGATCTGGGCAGCAATCGCCCTTCTGCGTCGTTCCCTCTTCTTGTTGTTTTCTCTCTCTTTCGAGGTGGGCATCCTCCCCGACGATCCTCCGCCTGTCATCGCTCCGGCCACTCTCAGCTTGCCAGATGGGGCCGGCTCTCAGTCTATAATTGTAACAGGGTTGCACGGGGCACTCTTCTCTCTCAATCAAAGACACGAGGACAGCGATTTATCCGTCCAGGTTTCTGCACAAGCAGGACGCGGCTTGCTTTTTAGATTCTTTGTTGGCACAATTTCTTTATTTTCCCCTCACTGGCAGGCGCATGAGGCGCAAATTTATTTTATTATTTCATCCAAAGTCTGGCTTTCCTCGTATAAAGCTCATAAAACCAAACTTCCACATTTTCTTTTCTCACCGCATCCGCAGATAACATATTTTATACTATCTCCGATCCTAATTATAAAATTTAATTGACTAATTTGAAGAGATTAAGAAAGTAAGTTAAGTTAGTTATTTGTAATAAATAAATATTATCATTTTTAAAATATCCTTGCTAATTAAGTGTATTGGCTAGAACTATCATTACTAAAAATACTATCTTGGAAAAAAATACATAAATATGATAGACAAAATGAATTGGGGTCTTATAATTAGGACCAAACTAAAAGTAAAATAAGATTTTATATTAAGAACTAGAGGTAGTATGCCGTTGTTTTTGCCTCCAGTATTAGTGAACTAAAAAAAGTATTCTTTTGTGCATCAGACACTACTATATTGATTGTAATAATCTAAGTGTTGGTAATATAATCAACGGGTTTAATAAAACTGGCTCTTTACGATTGTAGTCGAGAAATGTGTCTGTTGGGAAAAGGGGAGAGAGAAGAAATGTCTTTTTTTTTTTTTCCAACAAACACAGATATCTTTCTATTAGAAAAAAAATAGAAAAAGAAAAGAAAAGTCGCCAGCGAAGCCCACAACTGTTAGTCCTACAAGAAAAAAGAAACTTTTACCCCGCAAACAAGGGAGCGTCAGTGGGAACTGAAAAGAAGGAATAGGATTTTACATATGGTGCTCTAGAATGGATTTTACGATATGTCAATCTAATTACCATGGCTTGTATTTAATGAGCATTCATATCCACATTTATTATGATGTGGGCGAGCACACGGAACCAAATCCAAAAATAAGACGGGTCAAAGTGAGTGTTATTGCCGGAGGCTCGTCTTCATTCTTGATTGCAATTGGACTGACTGATGCTAAGCTCCCAAAAATAAGACGGGACAAAGTGAGGGTTATGAACAGAGTGAGTGAGGAAGAGATTCATTATTGGAGACTAAAGAGAGCGTCCCAAACAAACCAAATACGTGGAACGTGGGGACCACTGCGTCTGTCCTCTCCAGCCCTCTCCACGTGACTCGGGACCACCTCGGATGTCCAAACTCACTGTCTTCGCATGAACCCCGAGACCAGGCCACCCCATCATTTTGCCCGCCCAAATTAGCTTTTCTGCGTAAAGGGCAACACACCAGGGCTGGGGCATGAGCCCACGTTTGTTGGCCCAGACAACCAAAATTCACGAACTAATCATTAACAAAAAATTGTTGGTTGACAACGACGACATTGTTCATATTTGCGGTCTAAGTTACAAATTACGCATCATTTTAAAAAAAAAAAGGTCCCAGCTTGGCAAAACAAAAGGTCCATCATTTAAATCTTGTAGATTAAATTAATTTTCTGAGTAATGCTTAGACAAGCACTTTTTTTTTTGCTGGTCAAAAAGAAAAAGACAAGCAATTATTTTTAACTAACTTTAATATATATCTAAAAAGTAATTTTATGTAAAAAAATTGTGTGATTAGAAGAGAATGCAAACACACCCATATCATTAATAGAAAACAACTACTTGTATAAAAGACAAGTGTAACAGCGTTTACTCCTAAATAACTTAGTTTTTACCTTGGAAGCATTCTTTTAAATTAGGAGCACAATAGTAAATTTTTATTATAATTTCAATATTTTATTTTTGTTTGCATGCCACTTCTTTCTTTATATTACCTCCGCCCCTAAATACAAGAATTAATTGACTAATTTGATTAGATTAAGGAAATAAGTTAATTTAGTTATTTGTAATAAATAGATGTTGTCTTTCTTAAAATATCCTTATTGATCAAGTTTATTAGCCAGAATTATTTTAAGAAAAGATGAATAAATATGAAAGATAAGATAAATTATAATCTTATATTTAAAATTAAAATAAAAATTAAATAAAATTTTATATTAGAGACAGGAAGAGCTAGGATAATAAGAGTAGTGCCTCGGACATGGAAAATTGAAATTTAAGAGGAATTAATTACGTGAGAGAAACAGTAACGTGGCCCGTAAATTGGACGTCCCCCATATGTGACTGCTGCCGCAATATTAGAGTCATCGGCTTCAATATGACTGAAACAGGGAAACAGTACTGCACAGTACACACTTCTCCCTCCATTTTGGAAACTCAAGATGACATTGGATTTACGCTGCTTCTATACCTGTTAACCGCTAGGGAGGCGCTGTCCACTTCTTTCTTTCATGGTCTCTGCTCTCTCCTCTCCGATTCTGCCATTTTCTATGCATATTTCCTTTTGTCGTTTTAATTATTTCTTGTTTTTTTAAATAATATTGCTGACAGTTTATGCGGTAAAGCGCCAAACTACAAGGTGGAGTGAGAGATCCGCCATTGACGCTGGATTTTGAAGCCACAAACTGTTCCCGATGCATCTCACTCGGACTCCTAGACACCGTGGCGGCGCTTTTCTTCGGTCGGTTCTTCCGATTTACGGTCTCAGACGTTCTGAAACCATGAAGTGAGTTTTCCTTGCAGTTTCAACTTCTCTGATTTCTCGACTCTCTCTCTCTCTCTCTGTTTCTTTTCTCCCCTCTTTTCAAAGAGAAATCATCTCGTTTATTTTCCATATCTGTGCTTGCTTATATCATACCTTCTCCTTTTTTTGTTTGACTCTCTGCTACATTTACACCTTTCGCTGTCCATAATCGTGCAGCCTTTCTACCCTTTCTTAGTTTCTGTTGATGGCTTCAGCTTTTAAAATATGCGGACCTTTAACTCATTACCAACAAACAGAATCCAGTATTCAAGGGGATCATTTTACTAGATGCAGTGGGATCGAAAGAATTTTGTACGGACCCGGTGATAACGTTTGTTCAATTGAAAAACAAGTGTTTGGCCCAAGGTCAACGGGCAAAAGTTTAGCGCCTCCTCGCGGATTAAGTTTCTTCATACATTCTATATCATATATGTGGACCAATTAGTAGCTTTTATGCTAGGAAAGCTATAACCACGGGAAAGGCAACATCTGTTCATTCATGTCAATCTTTTATGTGGGGATACTATCTTCATAAAAAGCTACGGTCTAGGGGAACAAGAAACGGTTCAATTCAAAACATCAAATTAGAGCAACGAGACAATGTAGTCAGGAAAAGCAACTTCGTAATTCCCCAGTTTTCAACCTGTCTTTCTCTCCATTTACTCTGTTTTCTTAGGCCTGATAATCCATTTACTCTCCTCAAATTCCATGAAGAACAACTTCTAGATCTTTTTCGATGGGGAAACCAGTTTGCTACCCTGAAGCCTAAGTTATTTAATTTCTGGCCTGGGATACCAATAATGGTTCAGACAGATATCGAGGTAGTAACTTTTAACTTGTGTAGCTATCAATTATCCTATTGGAGGTTTGGTCTTTTTCTGCTAAACTTCCTAAGAGTATCAGGGAATAACGAAAGTACCAATTTAAGGTTGAGGTGGCATGACAACGTTTTCTTACATGTGACATTTATCAATCGTAATGTGCTAGAAAGAGAAAGGGATTCGTTCTTTTAAGTTAGCCTATGAAAATTTGTTTCTATTTTAGCAGTCTGTTACATGGAGTTCTTCAGGGGAACAAATGCCTCTTACGATAAAAAGCTTTCAAAGAACCAATCTCATTTGTTACAGTTGACAACAAAATTACTTATCCGATCATTTAGGGAGATGACTACTGGCTATAGAGTTTGGAATAAACTAAGCTAAGACATCAAGTAGTTCAGTCGATTCACGCATTTGGAATTTTGCTGAACGGTTTTTTCCTTAAAATGATTTTCTATGAAAATGAGGTCCTAGTCCCGCAGCATACTACCTTAAACCTTTATCTAATTTTACATGTTGTTCTGTGATTTTCTCTATTTCTTTCTTTCGGTGCCTGATGCCAAACGTTGATATGTCGTAATAGGTTATTGGTGCCTTTTCTTTCACTTTTTCTCTTATATTATGGGAGGTTTTTTTCGCTGCATTAACAATAATCTTTACCTTGGCCATACTATGCTTTTTAACAGAACAATACAGATTTTTGGTGTCTCCCTTTCTCTTATTCTGATCAACTTTGCTGCCATTATGGAGCGTGCTGATGAAAATCTCCTTCCATCTGTTTACAAAGAAGTTAGCGAAGCGTTTAATGCTGGACCATCTGATCTGGGCTACCTCACATTTATACGGAACTTTGTGCAGGGATTGTCATCTCCCTTGGCAGGTATACTTGTTCTAAATCATGATCGGCCTGCAATTCTCGCCATGGGAACTTTCTGCTGGGCTTTATCTACCGCTGCCGTGGGTGTTAGCCATGATTTTCTGCAGGTTGCATTCTGGAGGGCAGTAAATGGTTTTGGTTTGGCAATTGTGATTCCAGCCCTCCAATCCTTCATAGCTGACAGCTACAGTGATGCTGTGAGGGGAACTGGGTTTGGATTACTGAGCCTTATTGGTAATGTAGGAGGCATAGGAGGTGGTGTTTTGGCTACAGTCATGGCTGGGCAGCAATTTGGGGGCATACCAGGATGGCGATGTGCCTTCCTTTTAATGGCATCTCTGAGTGCATTAATTGGATTCTTGGTTTTAGTATATGTGGTTGATCCAAGGAAAAGAAATGTCACGGCTTCCGATGCCAGTCAGAGTTCAGATAGGTAATGACATTTTCAATTAACACTTAACAGTCTAATCCACCCATTTGGTCATATTACATTATGGTTGCGTTGACTGTTATCTTCATCATCGAATCCGTATTGATCCTTGGAAATTACATTTTAGATGACAGAATAATACTATGACAGTTAATATAGTTATATTTGTTGTAAAGTCAAGATGTAGAAGTGGAAGCCCGTGCCTCAGCATGAAAACTCTCACTTGTGGTACGAGCAATTGTTGGTAAAGTAAAATAGGACCCTCAAATGTATGTATCAGTAGAAAAACTTGTTT